CAAGCCGTCTCCAGCCATTATTAATAGATATTTGTTGTTACTTTATTAACGTTTTTACGCTTATACTGTGAGGTAAAAATGGCTGCTGCTATGATTTTGTCTGGTTTATGAGCTCGTTGCTGTCCTAATTTAGGATCTTGTTTTTAAATAAATTCTTGAAAATGTTAAAAAAAGAGAGAGAAAGGGGACCCGGCGAGGATGGTGGCTATCGACGTTCCTGTATATGTTAATAAGTATACCTTGCATGTACTATATCGACATGGTGAATACCCAAACAAAAGCTTCGACCATATTTCTAAACATGAAGCAAATATTTATCTATGTGCGCTATGATATTTTCAAAATTATGTAACACGGCTGGTTTCTGGACTAATAAAGTTAGGTCCATGGACCAAAAGACCAAACAACTATAAGTTTGTTTTGGTCCACCAACGTTCCCAAACTATATGTTAAGTTCGATGATAAGCAGTAGTTTGAAATACACAGTTTTCCATGCTGCGAAGCCTTATATATTTTTTTAAAAAGTTTGAAGATAAAGTTTCTTCTGTGGTTAATGGAGGAACTTGGAGTGGGTTACTTTTACTTGGTCATTGCAAGGTGTCCAAACTTCTGGAGGGCCTGGTGGTTAGGGTGATCGACTCGTAATCTGAAGGTCGCGAAAATGTTTGCATAAAACGTTTGTTTAGTTTGAATTTCGCGCAAATCTACACGAGGGATATCTGCACTAGCCATCCCTAATTTAGCAGGATAAGTCTAGAGGGAAAACCACCCAGCGCCAACTCTTGGGCGTTTTACCAACGAATAGTGGAATTGACAGTCACTCACAGGGATTCGAACCCTCAGATTGCGAGTCGAGCGTTCTAACCACCTGGCCATGCCGGGCCTGCATAAAAAAGTAAAGTTAAGCTACTTTAGGACAAGCAGTTCATTTTATGTACTTGTGAATTGCCATGATTTAATATACAGATTTTCATTCTATTTCTCAACATGAATGCTCATGTGATTTATTACTACAACCTATCATAATTAAGAACTCGCATTTCACAGTCTTTGCTATTTTGCTTTGTTGTTAAGCAAAGTTACATGGGCTATCAGTATTATGCCAACAACGGGTATTGAAATCTATATGTTTAATGTTACGAGTTTTCAGACTTACTGGTGAGCCAATGTACGTGGGTGGGGTTCCACACATCTTGCCTACTATCTTCAGTGCAAATATATATATATATCATGGAAAAAATATTTTTCAAAATGAAAATTCCGAGCTTCGTTTAAAATACATCTTTGGTGCAGACCTAAAATTGAATTTCTATTCCTATCACGTTCTGTTCGATGCCACTGTTTTATTTCCGGTAGGGTTTCCACATTTACTTTCAGTCATTATTTCAGGTAATTACAATTTATGAACAGGACACAAGAAAACATTTTGTTTTGTAATTTTCAATTTGGCACAATTGTAAGAATAGTAAATTAGAAGTGACATTGGATTCATTCAGAATCAAATTAAAGACAAGCATTTTGACAACTTTTGAACTATTTTTACTGACTATAATATATATATTGCTGATAACTGCTAGTAATTTGGTTATGCGAAAGAAAATTGCATTTAGAAACGTTGATATTTATTTAAGATAATTTTGAATTCCTTTAATAAACTACAAATACATTCAGAAAGAAAATTAAAAAATGCTTTTTTGAAATTATAACACTGTCATACTAGATTTTTCAATAAAACTAGTTCATACATGTCGTAAAATATTATATATTCTACAGCCAAATGTACTTCCCATGTTATGAATTTCTCCTGAAACTTATTGTTATTTACAAGTAAAAAAAATCCATCCAATTCTTTGAATTTAGGGTTAAAATATTTTTCTCTATAAAAGCCGACATCTGAAAGGGAAGTACTATCGCGGGTTAAAGCGTCCTCTATTGAGAACTAAAGAAGTTAGCTTAAAATTACCTAAATAACATATGCAATAAATTAAATATATGTTCTTTGCTTTAATTTAGATCTTCAAAAAACTGGAATACCATTATTCCACTCGCATTGTTTTGCTACAGAAAAACTTCTGTAGTTATTATCATTTCATTTACCTAATCATAAGAGCCACTCCCTAATCTGTTGTCATGGCGGACGGTTCTTCGTGGCATGCACATACACAGACTTTTTGGTGTAAAAAATAAACATTTAATAGTTCCGTTATCAAGAGAAGGTCATAGTTACCTCCATGTTTGTTTATTTTGCCCGAACTTTCGCGAAATATTACATCATACCATTGACATCTTATGGAATATTCGATACATAATTTAAAAGTGTTATTAAAATTTTCATTTGCCGTTAATAAAGGCAGTGGGGTAATTATGTTACCCAGCTTAGTGACTAATGAGTGTAAATAACTTCAGAATAGAGATAACCGCAGTTCATACCTAAAAAAACTCCAATATATCAACTGTAAATATTCTGCAAATTCCGATATAGTTATATGTCATTAGTATTGCTCAATTTGATGAATTTAGAATAACAATTTTGACTTTTAGTTGAGGAACCAAACGCCTTTATTTCATTAAAGTTATTTTCATATATGCATCAGTCAAATAAAAAAAATAATTTGACTTGTGCCACTGAGCACATTTTGTACTTTCGACAAAACTGCATTGCCCCTTTCGGCAACTACTGAAACCTTAACAAGGTGTAAGAAAGAATATAAATAAATTCAGCCGAAAACTATGATGAGTCTACTCATTCAGATGAACATTCAAAACGATACATTTATAAAAAGTCAAACTAACATTTTATTACAGCCATTGTTTGTTTGTTTTTCCACAAAACTTAAGCACTTACAGATTATCTATCTGTTTTTTTTATGAAAATGTTGGCATAAGAAGTAAAGTTAGGCTACTTTTAGGTCTAACAAATTACATATAATATTACACTACTATTTACTCAAAATCATATACATATTGTAAAAAACAGAAGCACGAGTTCAAAAATATTTTACCTAAAGGAAACAAAACTAAATACAAGAGCCTTCTTGCTGGTTGAACTCTGTTCTTTTTTGTTAAGTATTTAAATGCAGTTTTAATACATCCAAACTCATTTAAAATTCGTCTTTTAAATAAAAATAAAGTACTCACTTTTAATATTTTTCCAACAATGAATGAGCACATAATTGATACAATATTGTTATATAAAATCAACGAATCTTTACAAGCTTTATTGTTGTGTTCAATAACAATTTAAATTGCTGTCAACAATTTCAAAGCTGCCAATGTGTAATTTTACACAAACAAAAAGGCCATAGAAAAATTGAATATTTTATGATAAGGGAGTTTAACAATAAACGTTAAATTCACATTCTATTTAAGAATCGAAATATAAAAGCACATTCAGGCATTGTATGAGTTCTCACTTCCATCAAAATAAAGCAAATTTCAAATAACAGAACTAAGCCACTGCACCCCTTTTATATACACATTAAAGAACATAGAACGTTGTAATTTGTTGCTAAGAGACATTAGACTACTTTCTTAACACCCAGGCTTTTTCACAAGTCATCCAGAAATGGTCCAAAAACAAATGCTTCTTCCTTTTTTTTTGAATATTTTGAAAATTATCGATCAAACTGTAATGTTTTAATATATCTTTAATATTAACAATCTGATTGGATTGCTTACACTTACATTACCATAAAAAACAAAGGATGAACTAAGTCTATATAAGAATATGTAAACTATCTATAATTTTCTTTCAAAAATGTTTAGAATTGGTCTCACAAACATTTCTACTTTTTACTGTTGACCCGAAAATCTTTGTTATTTTTGTTCTATTATGAGGCTAAAAACATTCAATACTTTAATTAAAAAACATCTGGCCAAGGCAAAATTCCTACTTTCATACCTACTTATTTTTGGTCAGGAAACCAGAACACACATTTTTAGGCCTAATGTCATATAATTGAAAAAAAAAGAGTACTTAAAAACAGAGACATATTTACATTAAAATAAAATATCTCATTAGCAAGTTTATGACTGATGGTCTTAATCACATTTAAATTTAATTCTATCTTATCAGTGAATGTGTTTCATGCTACTTTAAGTTCCATTAACATTTAGTGAAGCAGCTGTTTTTTTAAATACCGCAAAACAATGTCTTATTTCCAATTAGACTCAGTTACATTAGCTTTGGTGCACGTTATCTCACAAAAGATGTTATAAATAAGTTTACAAGAAATTAAGTACAATTATATCACTACGTTGAGAACATAATGTTAGTTTTAGTGAATTTTTTAAAATACAAATTAAAAATTTTTTTTGTGTAACAAGTATTAATTAATGGTGTACTAATAGCCACCCTCTCAAATGGTGGCATCAAAGGTATTTACTATGAAAGAGAACAAATCATGAAAATACTTCATAAACGAGATTCCTTATAAGTCTCAAATGTAAGGATGTACATTATTGAAGTAAGAAAAATAAATATAGAAAAAACAGCATTTCTTTTTTTCTTATGATTTCTGTTCTAGCAAAATCAATGTTTTTCTCATCACAAGGAAACGATTACCAGATTATGCTAAATTCAATATTTTATAAAAAACAACAACTATACTTTTTCACTCTGGTTATTAGCCATGTAAGCAGGGTTGTAAGCGGGCTGACTGATTCCAGGATAAGGAGGAGGGTTCATCCCAAGTACTGATGGGTTGTAACAGAAATCTCCTTGTTGTCCACTGCTTGGTGGATTACGCTGTGGACAGCCACCAGATGAAGCTGGATATTGTGGAGGACCACTGGAAGAAAGATGGTATGGAGGAACACCACTAGTTGGAAGTGGATAGCCACTAGTAGGTGTTGGGTATTGAGGATAGACAACAGGTTGTGCCAGATACTGGGGATCACCACCAAATGGTGGTGGATAAGGAGAAAAGCTGCTAGTTGTTGGTGGTTGACTTCCCGGTTGTGGGCCATACGTAACAGCTGAAGTAGTGTTAGATACAAATGTGGTAGATTGTGGGCCTATAAAAATTAAAATGTGATAATGTAATAAAATATATGTTTGATGGTGAAAAATGAAGGGTACATGTAAACAAAATACGTTTTAATTTATGTAAGAAAAGTACACAACTCAAAACACATTGTAAGAGTTAACGTTCACTTAAAGTAGAACATTAAACACATTACAGTAAAGATAAAAGTACACAATTTTGTCTTTTTGCAATTAACAAAATACTACTTTTAATGCAAAAACAAAGTTTACATTTTGTTCAACAGATTATCATAATACGCATATTATGATGATACAACACTCATTATTATTGATCTAACTTTAAGATAAACTAATGTTTTATTAATGTCAGATTCATATAGAATAATATAAAATTTACCTTTAGCAGTCTAAACATATAAAAAAAAACTAAATGACTTTCAAAATTAAAAGATTTGTCATAAAATCAGCTGATTATCTGGAACAAAATGCAACAACACAATTCATAATTCCTTTGAATTTTTAGATCTCTAAAATTCAACATCGTAGCCATAAGATAAAAAAAAACTAACAAAGGAAACAATCTAAGATTCTTTAATAACAAAAGGGTCTTTATATCCTTGCACTAATGTTAAGTATGGTTTCTGTTTACCATTTTGGAACATTACGACATTTTATATTTTTAGTTAAACGATCGAAAATTTTGAAATGATGCATTTAAGTGTTTTACACTTACAAAAAAGAAACCTATCATTCTATAGGTATTTGAAGAACTTGTAGCATTCCACAACAATTTAATTCTTTGTATTATTAGCTGACAATAAGAATGAAAGAATATAGCATTCCAAGCTTTTACTTGTTGTTAAAAAAATGTTTAAACAACTTTATTCCATTATGTACAAGCTGCCTAATGTCGGCTAACAATACAAAGAATACCTATAGAATGATAGGTTTCTTTTTTGTGAGTGTAAAACAACTTAAGTGCACCATTT